CTGCATCTCTATGGAAAGAACATAACTATAGGTAGAACTCAAAAATATCTTCTGTACAGTATAACAAAGCTACAAAGGCACAAATCATAAAAATACAAAACAACTATTCTGCACATTAACTCTACAAAGATGTTTCACCATGCTGTATGTATCTTCCAACAACTTGACTCTCTAGCTTTTTTTTTTTTTAAGCCATCCTGCATTTACACAGCCTGCAGTTTATCTGAAAACTGTTTTTTTTCATGTTATACTCAGTCACAGTTGTCATGTTTACTCAGTTTGCTAAGGAGTGCACATTTTGTTTTACAGAAATGGTGGAAATGCTTTATTTTTCTTTCTCTTTTTTTGGTAAATCATCAAAGGAGACATGTAGGATAAAATATTTTTGCTAAAACATCATAATTCTTATGCTTAGATTTGGTTACTTTTTCTTGATGTTACCACATATCACAAAAGAAATATTCCAAAAAAATCCAATAAAATTCTCTGTGGAGTTGGGGTTTAGAAGGTACAAAGAAAAAGTTACCTTTTGCATGATTCTCAAATGATTATCTGTTTTTTTTTAAGTCTTCTATTAGGCCCTCTTTTAAAGAAATACCTGCGAATTAATTTGGCAGAGGAAATAGTGTGGTCTAATGTACACAATGTTCTTGTTTTGTTCTTGTTTGAGGTGTGGTGAGCCATTTATCTACTTTTGGATCAGAGATCGTGCCTCCAAATGACCACAGAGTAAACAATACAACTCTAATTTTGTAATCAAGAATTAGTGCAGCATGACTGCTATTATTACTGAAGCATCTGCACACTGCATGTGACTGAAAAGAAAAATCAAACCACTCTCAGAGACATGATCAACAGACTGACAAAGAGCAGATACAGCAGAAAATCCATCTAAATGACATACAGATAATTATATGGCTACAAAACACTTGAATGAGCCCATTTACAGTACATTATGAACCTCAACAAATGTGGATTAAAGCACAACAGACAGTCAGCGCACACCTCATGACTCACTTCAGTGCAAATAAATAGAACATGGCCAGTGTTCATTTTTTGCATCACATTGTGTTTGCATGTGGGTGTGCAAGTGCAGTGCACAAATTCAAAAGAGATGTAATTTAAATGAGGCATTACATCCTTCAACATATTAGCGAACACAGCAGCTGATATGTGGAGTGTTTATTGTATTTCATGAAAACATGGACTGAAACGGAAATGAGCAGGCTGAGTTTCTGTGTCTTCCACTCATATTGTATGTCGACAGAAAACCAAGACAAAAAGAAAAAACAGTGGATGACAAGATTTTTAAAAAATGGACCACAGTCAAACTGGACCTACTGAATCTCTACCTTTGACATTAATCTTCTTCTGGATAAACCAGACAGCCAATTTGGTTACAATCTGTCCTGCTTTTGCAGCCACCTTCCTCGATACGATGGCTAAAGTGGCACTTCTGCCGCCAGCTCAGACTATCATCTCTCTTGCTTATATCTCTGCATAATGGTTCGCTTCCGTCCCTTCGCTCCCTGCAGCTGCTCGCTTTAACCCGTTCCTTCTGTCTTTTCCCCTGGTTTTCTGAGACAGAGGCAGGCTGCAGCTGACAGGACAGTGCAGACCAGGGGGCAATTAGGGAAGTGTGGGAGAGACAGCTGGACCTGTTGCCAATTACACTGACTGTGATCAGGAACCATGCACGCACACGCACACGCACACAGCCAGCTTAATGGGCTCACACTGCACATCTAAACTTACTTGTCCATCTACTGTATGCATTGCAGACACAATTGGATATTTAGGAAAGGAAAAATAAAAAGTGTTGCTTTTATTTATTACGTCTCCATAAGAAAGAGAGAATACACAGAAATGAGCAAAAATGCTTTCTAAGGAATAACTTGTTGCGTTGGCTTCTGTGTCCATATGAGGCAAAAAATGTAACAGAGCAAATAAAGTGACTGTGAGAGAGACTCTGATATGTTGCCAAACTCCACTGGAAACTGTGGCATAAACAGTCATAGACCCCCCATTTCATGTGTGACATTTACACTGTGACCTTAATCTAAGAGTGGACATCATGTCCACTCCACCACTCAGTCCATCATCAGTAGGAGATCTTTCCCAGCAGCTTGCTCTGCAGCTGCCTGATCCTGCTTTCCTGAGGCAGCGCCAGGCTCTTCTCCACTCGCTCCTCCTCCTCCAGCAGCTGTTCGATGTAGCAGGAGGAGCCCAGCAGGATGTGGCCTGTGGCCTGCATGGAGAAGATGGTCCATCGCAGAACTTCCCTGCAAAGACAGAGAAAGAGCAGGAGAGAGGTCATAAATAGCTAATTCCCATTTTAAGAGACAAGACTGCACACGAGTAGACACAAACACAACAAACATGCAGCATGTGACGTAGTCTCATGGTATAACATGTAATTTAATCAGTAATAGACAAACACAGCTGAGCTCAGCAGCTGATGAGAAAATGACTGTGACATAATTTCACAACCTCACACGGTCATTTCTGACATCAACTGTGCCTCATCAAACTGATATCTAAGACCAATCCAACCTCTCACACTGCAATGTGAGCCATGAATCTGACAAGTCTGCAAAAATGTAATCCTCTCTGAATGAGGCTTCGTGCCAAAGCTGAAAACCAGCAGATCTCAGCAGCGATGACATAACTCCTCCCAAAAACTAATCTCAATAAAATCTAGCCTTTGTTCTTGTGTGATTTGACCATTTTACCACCCACACAGGTGTGTGTGTGATGAAATATGACTTCATAACTTATATTAGAGGAAAAACTGTAACTGGATGTTATGAAAGCAGCTGATTTACAGTAGGAGCTGAAAAACGAACACACGCACTAACAACAACAGAACGGCTGAAGGATGATGATCTGCTTCATTCAAATTAATCAATTTTCATCTCTGAACTATTACTAGAGGCACAAATTGTGTTTTAGTACAGTCACCGGAGTGATGCTGTGAGAAAAAAATAAACAGATAAATCCATTACATAATAGTTCAACACAAAAGTATAAAAATATCAGAAGGTCTCAGATATTCTGCAGGATCCTTCACTCACTTGAGCACACTTTTGGCAGCGTAGCAGCGCAGGTCATAGGACACAGTGTAAGCACCATACAGGGTCGCTTTCACATTCAGGCAGCCAATGAAATCTTTGGGGTTGTTCTTGTAGAGGTCAAAAGTCAGCTTGGCCACATCTGTCCGGGGCTTCTGCTTGCAATCACTGGGCCGATCTCTGGAGGGGCTGTTCTGTGACGTGACAGGAAGAGAAACATAACTTGGATCAAACAGTCGCAGATGCATTTTGGTGGCGTTATTGCAGCCAGGGGACTGAACTAAATGACAGCATCCACAGTGAAGCAACTCCTCCCAGTGAGGAGACTAGAGGTAAATGACAACGAGACAAGGTCAGCATGAGGTCACCACAGCAAACATTTTGGGGGGAGTGTGGGGGGATTATTGCACGCACCACTTTCTATGTAAATTAATTGCTTTTGGGTGAACACTATTCAAATGTGATGACACCCCTGGGTCTGATTAATATTCAACCCTTGCCTTTCATTTTCCCCTAAAAATTATGAAGGAAGAAACTAATCTCGGCTGTTCACCCTGCGTCCTGCCTTTGCACAATGACTCGCATATTACTCTTCTATTCAATTTGGAGGATAAAATATTTCACTGAATAGTGAGTGTATTCAGACTCGTCCATATTCATGGCTGCTGCATTAAAGAAACACACATTTTTCCTGCTTGTCTACATCAGAGAATCACGAGCATAAGAGATGCTGAATAAATCCATCAATATGTTCAGCTTTGCGCCGTGAAGCCGTTGATCAACAGCGCCATCTAGTGGCCAATGTGACAAGACAGTCAATTCAAACACTCACGACATGAGGGGTCCACTTCTGTCCCTTCTCCAGCACCATGAGGACAGCGTTCTCAGGCAGCGTCTGGAAGAAATCCTCAGTGTCCACACTAGTGCCATCTTCATCCAGCACCAACGCACTGGCGCCCTCTAAACTCATCGAGTCGCTGACCTGACAGAGTAGTAAAAAGAAACACACAATGAGTGCAGCTCATGGCAAGAAAATGTGCCAAAGGTCACAAATTACTCAAGCGGGAGAAGTTCAGAAGTGCTCGTCTGCACAAAGACACCGATAACACCGTCATCATAGAGTCACACACAGCGACTCAGTCTTGATATGTTTCACCAGCATGAGCTTAAAACCTACATGTGAGTCATTTCATGTAAAATCAACCAAACCCGAATAATGTTCCCACTTTAGAATCTGTTATTGTTGTTGTTCAATAAATTTAGTATATACACAGAGTAATACAAACAAGCATTGGTGCTCTGGATGTATTACCTCTTTTCTAATCATTCACTGTAGAAAATTTGAAATGGTTTATTTTGGGAAACATTTTCAAGGGTCATTTCACCATGTGAGACAGATGGCTGGCAAAAACAAGTGATAGCAAAGTAAAGGTCTCATTTCTGCCTACATTTTGATGCCAGGTTCTTCCTCTGATTTTGAGGGAGTCAGCTGGAGACACTGCTTGACTTTTCATGGACTGACTTATAAGCATTACAGACAGTGCAGCAAAAAGTGGCAGATGAATGATTCCACTCCTTTAAACACACAAGGGCATCACACTGCCTCCTCACTATGTCTTCAGCAACCATTTTATAATTTACATCATCCACATGAACCCTTTTTCACACCCCTCCCTCACCTTGTTTATCAGGTCTACCAGTACGTCGGCCATAATGCCTTTCTTCACGCTGCGGTCCACGTTTGTGACTCTGAAGGGCTTCGGCCGAGAAGTGCGACCCGATAGGATCTTCTGGGTCATGGAGCTGCTGGCTGACACACTGGCTGTTACACACCTGAGAAAAGATAAAAGTCTTGTGTTAAAATTTCTTCTAATATCATTGGGTGACACCTCATGGAGCACTGCTCTTACTTAGAGAGGCCAGATGGAGTCAGTAGGCTGAGGGACTTCATCGCATAATCCATCCAAGAACACCTCAACCTGCAGTGGGAAGAAGCGTCAGTTTAGCAACTACATTTTACCTGAAAGACATCACAATGAGCAGAGCGTAGCCTCACAGAAGAAGCAGGTAGCAGCTTTGAGTTAATACTGCAGCACAAAAAGTCTACATTCCAAAAAATAAAAAATAAAAAATTTGAGCCAAATTATCTAAAACGAATTCTAGGATTCTACGTGTACATGCATCACAACTTGTAAAATAAAAGTCTCTCTCAATATTTGTCACTTTTCACAATAAAGTCCTGATTAAAAAGGAAAACAATCTACAACCTAAACAGCTTTACAGCGACAGAGAAGTACCACTTCACCAGTTGTTGTCCTGACCGTGTTTGAAAATAATCCTTACGGTTTTCGTTCTGCTTCTGAAATGCTGCTCCGAGTTGTTTCGACCACTGAATCTCAGTGACAGCGCACACGCTTTCCTCTTGTTGAAGCTTCTTGCACCACTTGGTCACTGAACTTTGTACTAATGACTGTTGAGCTGGTTGCAAGTCGTCAGCTTTATTGAGTAATGTCTCAGTGACAACTCCCACTGTTCCCAGTTTGTTAGTCAAGAAACAGACTTTTATTGACTGAGTACATGTTAAAGGGTCAGAGGGTATGGAAAACATGCAAACAGTGTGTTCTGTGAGCTACCCAGTGGACAGACTTTCAAAACTTTGTGGAATTAATGTCTATTTTTTTTAATAATCCAAGCCAAATTCAACTCAACTCTACTGAGGTGTTGGCAGAATTTTTTTTAAATCTGTGAGCAGTTGGGGTAAAAACTGAAAAATGTTTGTAAGTTGGCCTAATCAGTCCATCAAAACATTAAAAGGATTGCGATAACCAAATTACTAGAGGTCTTAATTGTTAAAACACGACAGGTTTGAGGAGATTTGAAATTAAGTCCTGGCAACATATCAAAAATTAAATTAAGAATGCGATAGCTGCCATGGTCCAGCTGAATATTCTCATTTTAACACAGTCAAAAGAGGAAAATTATAAATGGAGATCATGAAAACGTTTGTGCGATGTGTACATTTTTAAATTTTCATTATACACACATACAAAAACTTCAACCTCTCAGACTACTTGAGTGATTACATTTCCTTCGTCTCCCTCTTGGGTGAAAGAGAATCATATTTTCCCAGATTAGGTCATTGTGTTCAGCTCATGCTATCTTACTCTCTGGAGTGTTGACGATTGCAGGTGTGGACCGTCTGCACCTCTCAGTGTTATCACATCATGTTGCTCAATCTACAGCTGGTCTGAGATCACCTGTGTACACGAGTCAAAATAACTAAAACCCAGGGATTGATGTGAAAATTACATCACTTGATTTTTTTAAAGTGGGAAAAGCTGAGCCACAGCATTAATTTCTTCTTATCTAAGATGACATTTGGCTGATTATTTCAAAATAGTTTAAAAGCAGAGATGTTGAAATGAACTAAGGACACTGTAGTCAGACAAAAAGGCACAAAACGCAGACTCTAGTCCCACCGGTGTTCACTTACACAACACACTTGCTTGCTGCCTGCGGCCACATTTCAGCCTGTCTGTGAGTTTTACAGTTTATATGCAGCTAAGAGCAAATCATTCACACTCAACAGCCTCCTGCACAACTGTGGCACGAGGAGTATAAAGAGAGGAAATGGAAGTAGAAATATATCCGCTCACATGTGGAAAATACATACACACTCACACACAGTTCTGACATTATGTATACTGTTTGCTTTTCGGATTGGCTAATTTTGTCATGAAGGATTTCTGTCGAGTGAAAAGAGGAATGTCAATACTGAAGGTGATTTAAGGACAAAAAGGTAGGACTAGGAAAGAAAGACTTGTTTCACACATTGCACAAAGCATAGTGTTTGCTTTGTAGGGTCTTAACCTTATTTTTAAATCAATAAGGTAATTTGTTGGCAATTATAATATTGCATGTTCTTTCCTTAACATTTAAAATAGTCAGATTAATTAACACTATTTTCAAAAGCAGCTGTAGTCTGTAACTGGACCTTTTCGTTTCTTGAAGCGTCTCATCATCGCCATCCAAGAGACTTTGTTAGTTTGATATCAGATACGATACAGTAGGATTTGTTCATTCATGTATTTTTGAAGGGACAGTGTACAGTAAAAAGTAATTGCGCCAGAGTTAGCTAGCAGCTATTTTGCATCTGTTTTCCCTGGACAGGTACAGAAAACAATAAACAAAGTACATAAATAAACAGACTACATAAAACAATACCAAACTTAAAAGTTCTTCAGTGTGAGATGATAAATAAAATCAGTAAAACCAAGAAATAAAAGGTAATCATTGGTGGTGGCAATTTTGTATTGACTCAAACCTTGAGGCTGCTTTTGACCATGACATTTTAAACAAATTAATTAAGAGCATTTGTATAATATTGTAGTATCATAACCTTAATATTTATACTTGTTAAATTCATAACCGTTTATTTCTCTACTTGAAAGCACTTTCTTGTTTTAAATATGCTATAAAAAATAAGCTCTTTGATAATATACAGAGAGACTATATGAGGATATAATCCCCAAATATTGATGTATATATATATATATATATATATATATATAGATATAGATATATTCGTGTTGGAAAGCAGGAATTCATTTAATGACAAAACAAAGAAGAAAATGTTCGCCATCCCAAACAGAGAACATAGCATCACAGCATAATGTTAGACGTGCAGCTTCTCGGAAATGTTTGCACCGCCATCTTTGATATTCAATTAAAACAAAACATTAACACTCTGAAGACAGAGCAACAAAAAAAAGTGCAAAATTGAAGCAGTAAACCACTCAGACTTACCTTTTCAGTGTGTCTCTTCTGTAAAGTGACACCACGGGAGTTTTAATCCACAACACCTGCGTCAGACTATTTACACCAGCAATCGGCGCCATTTTGAATTTCCGCGGCGCTGTTGAACGACTTCCGGTTTTACGAAGATAAATCTTTATTAAAACTTTTGAGAGAACATGTTGAAGGAATACATTTATCATCGAAGAAGCGAAGCAATGGGGACATTATGTGGACAAGAGACGAACTACAGGTAATAAAGTAATTAATTCAACATTTATTCACATTTGTATGTAAGAGGAGACACTACAGGTGAATAGTATAATAATTTTTTAGACATATCACAATTAAACTTTTCCAGTTGACTACTTGGAATAAGATTTATTTTATTTGTATTTCAGGTATTCCTACATTTTATGTGTACATATGCAAATATATCAATATCTATTTAAACATGTACTACATACACTCCTCCCACAGAAATGTAAACATTGGATTCATTTTCGTTTAAAATTCTCGTTTAATTTTGTTGATATGTTCGAGGTTATTAAAGAAGGGATATATTACCAAAATCAGAAAAGACTTTTCACCAGGCAGAAAAAAATACATTTGAAATGTTTTCTAAAAATAAAATGTTATATAAATTCGGCTGTGAGTGATGTATGAACAAACCCCTCTGTCAAGACCTCAGAAGATTAGAAATAATAACTCCAGTAGCAGAAAGAACAACATTTTGGTGGGAAATAAACCAAAATGTTTTTTCTTTTTAAAAAATTCAATTTAATTATTACCACAATGAAACTTTTTCAGTAGATTTTTTGTATCAAAGATTTCACAATTTTATGCTCAAATATGCAAATGACTGATTAAATTTGTGCAGATTTGTATGTAAGTCTAATAAAGTGCAGTAAAATAAACATATTTTAGAATTTTTTTAACACTAGTCTGAAAATCAACTTGTTGAGGAAGAAAAATATGCCAAAAGCTAAAAAAAAAAAAAAAAAAAAATGACTAGTGCATGAAGAAAATACGTTTTGTTAAGAATTAAACCAGAGATTTGCAGCCTTTTTAGCTTGTGAATTCTTTAAAAAAAAATGTGTAGGTCACATTTTAGATGTCTATGAGCTTTAAGAGCTATTTTTCTTTAACCTTCTCACATGGTTTTATTTAATTTAATAATCTAATGGTGTCATGTATAATAATATATCAGTCAGAGGCATCGAAACAGTGTTTTTTCTGTAATACATTAGATAGATAGATAGAATAGATAGAATGCCTTTATTGTCACTATACACAAGTACAATGAGATTAAGAGCAGCTCCTTCAGTGCTATACATAATAAGTACAAAATAAAGAGCAAAAAATGAAAAATAGAGGAGATTTAAGTATAAAACTTAACTTAAACATTAACTGTGTATGTACTTTTAAGCATAGGGTTTTTAATGCAGGAGTATTTTTACATTGCTTTATTAGTACTTTTACTCAAGTAAGGAATCTTAATGCTTCTTCTACCACCGTGAATAGCTAAAAATAGTAATTAAGTACAGGACTTGAGTAAATGGACACAACTGCTTTGTGCCACCGGAAGCATCTTCAGTCTAAATTTATTTCTTGCATTATTAGCAGCTGCTCTGGTGGAAACACATTTGTCTTGGCCGGTCTGTGAAACCACTTTTAACCAGATCTGAAATGGCCAAATAAAGATTGTGGTGTGTCAAAGGAGGACGCTCATTACATAAATCAGAGTAGCCTCCAGTTAAATTTTTTTGTAATGATAAATTCCTTGTAATGATGACTTTTATTTATTCATTTGAACATCCTAAATTCATATTTCTAAGTACGCTTCACCAGACACTCACACCAGGGAAACAACTGCTGCAGTTTAAACATACACTCATATTACACGAAAAAGCAATCTTGTTTGTGGTGTATTGCCAGTCACACCAACTAAAGCCTGAGAAAATCATTTATGCAAACAGAAATGAAATATTGTCACAATAATCTCATGGCAGCGTAAACACCCCCATGCTTCTTATTGCCAGCAAGAGCAATAACAAGAAAGGCTGTTGTATAAATGACTGGCAGACCGTTGGTATATTTTCTAAACTTAGATTGTTTCTACATTGCTCAGTAGTGTGTTAGTGGCCTCACGGATTTACATCTTTGATCATAGTAGTGGTATTAATTTGTGAGCTACTTAAACACATGTTCTATTATATTTGCCTCCATTATTAAAGCTGCAGTAGCTTGACATGATACATGGAATAAGTCAAGATCATGACCTGTGTGAGACAGAACAAACTCAAATGTAAATCAGATGAGCAGTTTATTTCACTCTGTTGCTTCACATTTCATGCTCCATGCAGGAGCCCAGATGAATCATGCCATAGATATGAGTCTAATCTAGAGCAGATAATGCATCAGACTTAAAATAGCCGCGACTTGTTTGCCAAATTCATCAAGTATTGGTGAACAAAGGTCTATAGAAAGGGTCTGATCTTCTTTCAGAGGTCAATATCCTGCCCATGTCTTTGTCCTGTTATCACACATCAGAGCCTGCTGTGGGTGACGCAGGCTCATTTGGCTCAGACCCATTCATTTGTGCTTTATGGGCTACTGATGCTTGTAATTATACTAAGCGTGCCTGATATCAGTGCAGAAATGAATTAGACTTGAGGAAAGAAATATGATTATCATATTGGATTTAATTGAACAACCTTATCTTTGAATTCAAGATTACACATGCACACACAAGAAACAGATTTCCGAGACACAGTTTCTGAAGTTTCCAGTGGTGAATAATTTGTGAGACAAAAGGCCAGCTTCATCTTACATTGTTTGCAGTGTCCTGTTTATGAGATAGTTTTACATCATTCTGTCTGATTATTAGTATTTCAAGAGTCAGTCCATGGAGTGTGGAATGCAGTAATCTAATAAATGATTTCATACAGGAATAAAAGTAAAGCAGATCTAAGCTCTAAAGGACAGATACTGACCGAAATGACTCTTTTCACCTGAACTAACATTGTTTCTAATCAGCTGTCGGCACCACAATGTGTTAACTCCACTGTGAGGTGAGATTTCTCCAGCGAGCCTCCAGACTGCTCCCTGGGGCTTTCATTTCCTCTTGCCTATTCGTGCCATTAGTTCTGCATTAGCTGCCGCCTTGGTCCTCATGTCCTGGTTCTTCGCCAGGTCTATGAGGACGCTGAGGATGCTTGTTGGGACATCGAGGGACAGGGCAAAGCGAGAGCCCTGCTGGGCTCTCTTTGGCACCTGGGAGGCTGGACGTGGGGCTCGTGCTCGCCTGAGCACCAGGTGATGCTCTGACTGCAGCAACGAGTTCAACACGCCGCTGCGGTTTAAGATGTCGACAGCCAGCATGTCCCTTTGTGTGTCCTCGTCGAGTTTGGGGAGATCTGGACGACTCCTCTGGCTCTGGATGCACCAAGGCAGCAGCAGAGCCAGGCAGAAACACACTCGCACACGTCTCATGGCCAGGACCGTCTGCAGGCTGAGAAACAAGCATTGGCTCCATATTACACAACTGTTAAACTGCAGGGCTTCGTTCAGTGTTGCATCAGGAATCTCTTTTTTTTTTTTTTTGTAACATCCTCTCCAAAACAAAGCAGTATCATTAATTACCACCAGGTATTAGATTTACATTTTAGCATTCTCAACTGATGCATGGAAATGCTTTGGAAAATGACTTTTTATATTACAGTGAAACACAACACAGTCTTCTTCAGAGAATTTAATTTTTTTTTCTAATATTTACTCACTTTCAACCAGCCAATATTTTGTCCAACTTTCTGTCATATTATGCAATATTGACTGACATATGTACAAATAAACCAGCCTTGTCAGGGGTTACAAATATAATCAATACTTACTCGGTGTCACCACTGTGGAAAGTTGGTAACTTGACAAAAACAAAAAGGCACTTGTTCCTCCTCTGTTGTAAAACAAGCAACTCTGTCTGGTGGTGATCTCTTGTCTTGGACTCTCAGGTGTCCTGTGATGCTATAGCCTCTGGCTCCCAGCTTCTTCTTCTTCTTCAGCTTCTGGAGGAGCAAACTGTGTGGAACGCAGTCGGATGTTCAACTGGACTTGGTAGTCGGCGGCTCGTCCACTACTTTACGTCTTCAGCCACTTCGGTCCTCGCTGTGACACGGCCCCTCTCCCTCACTGTTTACACCCCATTGCCCTCCCCTCATTTCATCTCACTTCCTCTGCACTCATTGCTTTCTTGCTCCTTCTAAAAATAACATGATGGTAATCACAATAGCTTGCCTATAATGAATTAGATAGTTGCCTCAGTTTGGAGTCATTGCACAACCCACCCACTGCTTCCATTCAAAAGTTAAGCTTCGACAAGTCTTTTATGTAAATAAATATTCATATTTGGCCCATAAATTGTTAACTTTCTTGTCACGCTTTTGAGTTTGTATATTGTCAACCATCCATGCAGACTGATGCATGATGTTATAAAGAAACAGTGGAAACAACACTGACGCCAGCACAATCATTTTCATTCTATTATTGCTTTCTGTTGTGATCTTTATTCTGTTGTGTCTAATCTGATTGAATGTGCACTTGGATTTTTAAAAACATTTAAGTTACAGGGCAGGTTTGGAAAGTAGAAGGTTACAAAGATGTTTCATTAACAAATCATGCTGACACAGAGGGATTTCCCCTGACATCCTTCAGTCACTGGTCTCTTTCTGGAACCAGCAGACATCCTGCTGGCCGCTCTCAGCTCAAATACACCTACAAGAAACGACATCAACAAGCATCAAGGTAATTTTTTTTAGCCCAGACAATCACTTCATCTGTCTCAGGCAAAGTTTGAAGGTGTGATCCAACCACACCATGAATGTCATGCACACAGTGCATACATTGTTCATGAAATGGTTTAAAAAGTGAACATTCTCTCATCAACTAACGCAAAACAAATCGTCTATGCCAGCATCAACACCATCTTTGGACAAGTTATAACAGGGAGAAAAATACTCATCTTTAGCCCAGATGATCATCACACGATCAAGATTGTAAATCACCTTTACACATTGTATTGGTTTGGAGCCACGAACAAAAAAAACGCTCGTTTTAAAATGCAATTTGTAATTCTTGATAATAAACTAGAATAAAATTGTTTCCTGGATGTCAGGTTTGAAATAACAGGAGTGACTGAGGATCTAAAAACTGGCGGGTTATATTTATTGTTTTGGCCGACTAATGAATTCTTCGATCTAAGCTCACAGTGTCACCGTCGTGTTCATGCCTCCTTGTGTGGTAGCTGGACATGCTTTACAGGAAGAATAAAAACTACTGGACAATCTGTATTATTGGGACATATGGTATGTGTACTTTCTATTAACAGAACACAGAGGATAGGAGGGAGGTTGGACAAAGGAGCAATTACAGAGAAAGCTCTGAGGAGAACAAGGAGGAAGCGACTGTCAGGCCCAGGAGGGAGACTCAGCCTACCTCGTCTCCTGACTCACCTCCAGTCCAGCCCATCAAGGGACTTATCCTCATCCGACTAATGATATGAATATGGGTGCAGTATGATTACAACAGTTGGGCCCTCGAGGGCCTCGGGATTAGAGGCCCACTCAGTTACCCCATAAACAAACAGGGGTCACACATATGTCAAACAGCAGCATACAGAGATGCGTGCAGTCGTACCAGCAGCAGCATTACTGTCAGAGATACAACATGACGCAGAACAACACAACACATGGCCCTGAGATGATGTCATCTCTGTGATTTCACATGAAACATACATCAAAGCAGGTTCTACTTTAGCATTCAAGAGTCCTACTGACGTCAACTGTAAATGCAAGAGAGCATTTGAACTTCATCAGTGAAAAACAATTTAACTGTTCTGCCACTTAAGCTTCTATTACACTTCAACAAAAAGACGTTTAAAAAAATAAAATAAAATAAAAAATCAGACCACTAGAGGGCACCAACAAATCCTTACAAGTCAAATAGGCGGCTGACAATTTGGACACAACCCGCCATAAATCACTAATTAACCCAAAAAAATTTTTGAGGTCTAAACACATAAGAAAAAAGTGCTTTGTAAAGAAAAGACAAAATGTAGGGACAGCAGCTGTGCTCATCAATGTGCTGCTGTTTCCAGAAAAACAAAAAGTACTATACAGGATAGAGTGTTTAGGTTGTGTTGTCACCATGTGTTATCTTTTTTTTGGCATCAAAACACCTGCAATAATAATCACACCATTCATTTTTCTGTTTCATCCTTGGCATCATCTCAGTTTCCAAAACCACATTTTAGACTTTGTGTAGCATAACTGATTCTACATCAGAGCACTTGCATGTCAGTGAAAAGCAACGGGTTGTCAGCATGCTCACATACTGAAGTTTAAGATTAAAATTAAAACTTTATTGTTTACGATTAGAATTCAAGGAAAACTAATAATGCCATCACTGTAGTTAATAATGAGACCTAAACTATTTACTACAAAGTTTAAGTCTAACAGGTTTCTGTAATTTGACAAAAAAAAAAGTGTTTTATTTTGAAAAGCAAATCATGTGTAACATGAATGAGAGACAACACTTCACAAATGTTTTACAGATTTTTAATTTTGTCGGAATGAGAGCTTCTGTTATGTACAATAGTGGACAGAAACAAATGTTACAGAATTATAAATATACTCTTGCTCCATACTGGGTGTTTTCAGTACTGGCTGTATCACTGTCATGTAGATATCTAATATTCAAGTTCGCCCTCACTGCCCTTTCCTCTGTAGGTCAATATCAGGTGATGAGTACCTGTGCAGTACAATCAAGATGCATCCAGGGTGTAATTTCAAGAAAAAACAAAAAATGTACACACTGGCTGCCCCCTGCAGGGATAACTGAAAGTAATGAGTGCATTGGATAAAAGAGGGAGGCAAGAGGGACGATGGATGGCTGTCTCTGCTGTCACGCCAACATGTGGACGATCCTCAGGTGTTCGCTCTCGATTACGGGAGGAAAGCAAAGTCAAGTTGAGGAAGAAGTTGAAGAGCAAACGTGGGACACACGGAGCAACACGATATCTTGTTTTAAAACCTGAGCCAGTACATGCCGCTACGCGTTCTGTTGTAGTCGGGTAACTGCTCGATGGGGCCTGGTGGAGAAAACAAGAGGGACACATCAGAGAAAATAATGACAGCATGGACCCTGACTTTGCTGAAAAGGGACTAAAAGCACAGCAGAACTCACCGACGGCTGCCACAGCAGGACACTTGTCGTAGATATATTTGGCGAAGACGTCTTGCACCATCCTGGGGGTCACAGCCTAAAATAACAGATGTACAAGAAGTCAGATCTATTCAACTGGTAACGGACTAAAAGACTTGAAGCCAATTTTAAATTTCAACTTACGTCGATCCTAGCGTCCCACTCTGCCAGAGGAATACGCCGCCCGTAGTTCAGGATGTGTCTGCCGATGTCATCACAAATTGGTGTTGTTCCTGAAAGATGAACAGCAGCGTCGACTTGTTACTCATGGGTGATGGCTTTGTGTTTGCAAAGATGTATGAGGGACATATTGCTTACCATTGAGCTGTCCAACCAGGCTGGCCTTCAGAGCCTTCTTTGCTCTGGCGATATCACTCTCTGTGACTGTGGTGCACATGGTCATCCTGCAGGCAGCAGAACATGGAGGAGACAGAATAAACATGTGCATTCACCTTATATTTAACAGTGGTACAACTAAATCCTTTCTTTATCTAATGTGTGTGTTGTTCTGTCCTGGAGTCATTACTGACCAGGTATTCTGGAGCGAGAACATCATGTCATCAATGCTCATCTTATCAGTCACAAAGTAAACGCCCAGCAGGCCGGTGTCACTGTAAGTGGAGTGGAAGGCCTGGAAGCTGTGACACGCCTTATCGTCAAGTGCCAAGCGAGCCAGACGGCTGCTCAGGTTCTGCATGTGAGAGGAAAGAATAGAGTTTTTCTCTAACGGTTCTTACAGCTCTGCTTCATAATCAAAGAGGAACTAAATCACCCCAGAATAAAGGTCGAAAACAAACATTAAGGTGACAGAGCTACTAATGAAAAATGCATCATTCCACATATATAGAAACATTTAGGTTCCATTTTTATCTTCTTGGCAAGATCCTTTTTTAAACAATAGCATGCAAAACAATATATTTAGGCATAAGCGTAAACAAAACTAATTTTCAAATTCAGAGAGTTAAACTAGGTGCTCCATCAGTGAACACTGTTTCAGCAGTTACTACATATTGCCAGTTGTGTTCCTCCCAACAGGTCCAGAGGCAGGGGTGAGTCCCCTGACCCAGGTTTTTAGAGAGAACCATGTTCTTCCCCTTCATAATGGCCACTCAAGACATTAACAACCTCGAGTGGGCAAAGCTTAAAGGGGACTTTGCTGAATCAATGTGATGATTTCATCCTATATTACTGTTACAGTTTTATCATCACTGTCCCTTTAAAGCTGCATAAAGAAAAACACACCAATGAAAAAACATTTTGTTCCCAACCTTTCCACCTCCATAAGTAAGGTCATAGCTGCCAATCATAGAGTTGGCCACCATGAGGGGCACCATGTCCGGATGGGCAACACCAGTCGTCTCCACAGCGATGGCAATGTGTGCCAGAGGCATATCATCATCACGAAAACGGATCTGAGGAAAAGCAGAACAGGAACAGATCAACACAACCATTTACTGACTGTGAATGCAGTGTCAAAGCCTGGGCTCCATTTTTAGTCACAGGCCAAAATCACACCTAAAAAGTGTAACACTCTAAAGTAAAAGGTTATTCATTTTGTGATCATCAACTAAGCCATTTAAAACTGTATCCACATCACTATATCTTACAACAGCATCTAGTCTCTTCAATTTATCCATTATTTCCCCAAGATTCCATGTTAAGAAGAATGAATAGTATTCAGACTGTGTGAAAATTTCACACACACACACAAACAAACAAAACAAACTCAACACATCTCACCTCACTGCCAGTAAACCGGCAGGGTGACAGTAAAGGGATGGCATCTTTGTCGTACTCAAAAGCCATTCCACCGAAGTGAGATTTGGCCAAATCAACCAGCTCCTCGTGGTTCACACCTGTAGAAATATCACACTCAATAAACACCAAGCCACTGCAGGAAAAGGACAAATCAACAGGCTACCACAGTGCCTCTCCTCACTGTGTAGGTTAGAAAGAGGAGGACCTACCTCCAGCAGCAGCCAGTACCGTGCGAGGTGCTTTAAAGTGGCTGTTGACGTACTCCACTAACTGCTCGCGGGTCACATTCCTGGCAGCATTGGACAGAAATTTCAGTGTGAATTTAGGTGTAGAATATGTGACAAAATTTTATCTATATTATGATTCAAATAAAAAAAAGGGCTGTAGTGATTGCTGTTGAGCAGGTTCTTGAACCATCAATGCAACTGCACTGTTGTAATGGTAGCGGGCTTTTCATTAAATCAACTCTGAGTTGTTCTGAGACTACGACTGATTTAAATCCATGTGAGAGCATGCAGCTCCTCCCACCTGATATTGTCGGTCGGGCCCAGCACACTGTGTCCCAGAGGAGTGCCCTGATAGGCTGTGGCATGCAGCAGGTCGAAGCAAACTTCCTGCAGGTTGCTCTCAATTTCCTCCAGCTCACGGAGCACCACGCCCCTCTGCTGCTCAATGTCGGCCTCGTTCAGCGAGCAGTTCTGCACAACCTCTGACAGCAGCTCCACAGCTGGGTAGTGCAAATGAAAAATGATCGTTCACAGCTAAGAGGAGATATGCTAGAACCATGGATATTGTTGTCAATGCCTCTTACAGTATAAAGTCGAATGATTTGGATTCTGCAAAGCATGATGTGTTTTATTTGAGCGTGTATCTTATTTCTTTCTAATGACTTGACCTTTCAAACACAAATAGCTTGTAGTTGATAGAAAACAATGAAATTATTTCACTGCTTCTTAGCAAGTGTTCTGACCTTTAGGCACGTCTTTGGCCAGGGTCTTCATGTAGATCGCAGTATGCTCCCGCGAAGTGTAGGTGCTCAAGTGGGCGCCCATAGACTCTACCTGCTGCTCCAGGGCTGTGGAAGGGTAATTTTTGGTTCCCTGCAGGGAGACAAGTGATGTGAATAAAATGAAGCATGTAATAGCAATGTTTGGCATGGCTGGATTTATCGTAAATGCATTCAGCTGAGACTAAGGGTCACAGGGTCTACCTTAAAAGCCAAGTGCTCCAGGAAAAAGCCCGTTCCGTTGGTCTTCTCAGTCTCATAACGACTGCCAGCACTGATCCACAGTCCAACCTGTGACAGGGAAGAGATAAGTGGAAAATCTGAGATGTGCTGAAGTACAAATAAGTGAACATAAAATATCAATCATGTGCTTTAACAACATCCTGTTGAGACAATTTTAAGCGGTCTGTTTAAGTGTTCTTACAGTGCAAGTGCCATTGCCTGTGTCCTCAGATGCAACCCTGAAACCATTGTCCAACTCAGTAAGACGGGTTTCAGGAGCTCCCAGCAGGCTCTGGGCATAGCTGACTGAGGCCTGTCCACGTCTCAAAGACAGCAGGATGGGCTGGAAGGGGAAAGATGCAAGGATGCAAGAAAGCAATTTAAAAATAATGTTACAACAGCACATGACTTTATGTTATCACTTAACTCTTGGGGAGAAGCATTTAATATTGTCTTACACTAAATTATATAAAACTTTAAGAGGAGTTATCAATTTTGAAATTTCAGCAATGTAATGTCTAGATTTTTAAAAATGTTAAACTACTGTTATCCTTCCCATACACAGGGTTATACTGTCTGTTCTAACCATTCGTCTCTATGATTGTTACAGACGTCTCTCAAAAAGCAGCCACTTCATTGTTTTGTGCTTCTCTTCTTTGATTGAAAACAATCTGCTACATGCATGTCCTTTAAGTCTACTACTAGTTATCTAAAAAAGGGCAAATTATACATTTGTAACATGAATGAGAGGCAGAGGCTGTCTGTTTTCTCTCAGAAAGCAACAGTATAAATGTCACAACATCTAATCTTAAGGCTGTCAGCTGCAACTGACACCACTGACAGCTTCTACTATTTAAAGTCCTGAAAAGAGACTAAACCAGAGACCAATCTTAGCATATGTCCGTTCTGGTCACATTTATAACATATATAATTACAATCTGATGAGATGACAGGGACCACTGATTAGAGATTTTATTCAAGAATTAGACAAATGTGTGCAGTAAAGAGGGATCATGACAAAATCTGGACACACGACTAGTGTTGACAGCAGGCTAGTAAGTAAAAGTAGGCGATGTTCCGCCAGGTTTCATCTAAATTCAGTGACACTTGGACGTTTTAACGTTATCTTCAACATGGTCTTAAAGTACTTGAATAAGTTAACCTTTCAGAAAGTTCAGCAACAGTAAAGAACGGACAGTGTCAGCATCTGTCTTTCCAAAGTCACCGTGCTAGCGCTGCTAGCTAGGAAGCTCTGAGGGCGAGTGGGGACAAACGGCTAATGTTACAGCTACTGACCTTGTGAACGATCAAAGACGACTAAAATGCTGACAAGCTTTTCTTAATAAGGCGTGTATAAAGTAGATGTTACACGTCAGGTGGCTGAGACAAGATGGACTGCTTCATTTCACAATTGACCTTGCAAGGGCTGCTAGCTTTCTATTGCTAACCGGTAGCTAACCGCTTTCCATTCTGTACAACGGACGGCTAAGCTAACAAGTTAGCCAGAAAAGCTAGCAAGCGGTCCGTGTCTTTACAGCACCGTCAATCCAAAACAAAAACAATACCAACTTAGATATTTCACATCACTGCAAGTACCTCTGCCATGTATTTAAACGTATACATACACTGCGGGCTTTGGCGAGGGTACGACCCACGGTGCTCCCGACTCGGCACACGGACGCCGCCATTTCTTAGCAGAGTTACAGACGCTGGGCAGGCTCGGCTGTCCTCCGGTGTCGTGTCGCGTATTCTTCGCGTGTTAATGCGCGTTATTCCGTCGTCAGGTGGCTCGTAGCGCCACCAGCTGGTCACTGTGTGTGGTTGAGGGTTGTGTCTGACAGCGTTCACATTGTGGGTGAAAGGGTGAGTCCTCTGATGTGACTTTAATTCATGTCACCTCCAATAATAGCTTTAATGAAGCCCAATTCTTGTCATGTAATATGGTGATGTTTAGTGTTTCTCTTTGTTTTCACATTTACCAGGCTAGAATAGAATAGAAATACTTTATTTATCCTTGATGAGAAATTCTGTTCACAAGCAGAAAACTAAAATGAAAATAAATAAGAAATAAGAAAAATGTACGACAGGACAAAATGCACAAAGAGAATAGAATAGAAAAATACTTTATTTATCCCAGGCCTGGGAAACTACTGTGATACGGCAGCAGCAAAGAAAAAAACACCAATCACAACAGAAAAGGTCTAAAGTTAAATACTATTTAAAAATCCATCCATCCATTATCTGTACACCGCTTAATCCTCACTAGGATCACAGGGGGGCTGGAGTCTATCCCAGCTGACTTAGGGTGAAGGCAGGGGCACCTGGACAGGTAACAAGTTTAGGCAGGTAACCAGTACCTGTCAGTGCAAGTGTTATTCTCCCAGCTTTTGTCC